TGCTGTTCATTGCGCTTGGCTGTGTCTTTTCCCTCCGAGGCTGCTGTGTCTCACTGTGGGATGCTGTTGAAAAGCTTTAGTTTCATTCCAGAACTAAATGGATTTCAAAGGTAGAGGAAAGTACTTGCATTGAAGTAGTAAATTAGAGAGGTTATTTTTGAATTTCCCAGGGACTGATCTTTTGCTGATGCTCTAACGTGGATCTGACCTGGGAATTCCTCTGGATATGCTGTAGAAGGATGAGTTGCACAGAGGATTGCTTCCCATTCTGGCAAACCTCTCTTTCAGAGGCTTTGAACTTTTAAAAGAACTGTTTTTCACAGGTTAATGTTGTATCATTTTGGGGTTTGCACTCAATGTGTGTCTTTGGCAAATTTTGGCCAAATACAGGTCATCTGGAAATGTGATGCCAGTTTATGCAGTTGTGTGTTGGCTGTAGTGCTGACGTTAAGAGAGAACGGGGGCTGAGGCCGAAGGTGCTGAAGACTTTCTTACTTACACTCACCATGTCACAACCTGATTAGCCTGTAAACTCTGTTTTGCTAATCCCCAATTGCTGGATTACAGATTACAATGAATTAGTCTCCTCTTGATGTTTATTTTTATATTCACATCCAGTATGTAACCCTTTGGTAGATTTATTGAATTGGAATCTTTATTTCCATTATGAGAATGAAAAGATCCACTAGCCCAGGCTTGACTGCCGAGTACTCAATATTGTGAACAGTAGTGACTCTTTAGTTAAGACCTGAAGATGAAGAGCTGTGCAGAAGTGTTAAGTGTTATTATTACAAATTGTCAGTGCATACTTTTCTCCTCCAAGGCACGTTTAATTGTATAGAGTCACAGTTGTTTTCTCCAAGACATTTGGCCTGAGCAGTGGAAGTTACTGTATTTTTGCTGAAAAACTAAACCAAAACCCAAATGACGTTAATTTTTAGTTTTAACAGCAACAGAAATTGTGCTTGGACTAAATACGTAGCACCTAAAATTTGCAAATAATGTTGTGAAATAGTTACTCTAGAGCTAACATGTAACTGTTGAGCTGATAACAAAATGTATGTTGAAAACAATTTAGAAGTTCTTGATTCTTATGTTCAGTTAACCTGGAGCTAACAGAGTGATGACAGGGTTGAAATAGGGAGCACTTTGAAGGTCACCAAGGAGGCAAGTACATATGGTACCTCTATAGTGACAGTCTTGGCCTGTGACGGGTTTGGGCTACCTGTTATACATCCTTCAGTTTTCTTCTATAGGGGGAAAGGATGCCATTAAGGCTGGTAAACTAAGCAGAAGAAAATGATGGAACTTGAATTCTTGAATAAGCAAAACTATGGTTTTCTGTAAAGATAATTTTCCAATGTTATTAGGGGCTTTACTTAAATTTTACTCTGATTTCATGTTCAGCAAGTAGGAAAATACAATGCCAATTGCAGCTCTGATCCTTTCATTGGCAATTAAGTTATTTTGTTTGCTCGAGAAGTTTTAAAACTTGCTGCCAATACCTTACTGTTATGTTGCTCCTTGCATTTCTTTCAAATGTAAAGTCTGTATCGGTAGCACCATCTAAATGGATAAAGGATGAATGATGGGCAGTTTTGAGCTGTTGTAGTCATGCCGGTTATGAATCTCTTCTTTTGATGATTTTCAGTATAACAGCTACCAAATGAACTTAGTGGTTCTGGCTCGTGAAATGTGAATACCATAATGTTCCCTGAACCTTTATTCACTGAATTGCCAAAGTCATGCTTTTCAAGAACTTTGTGAACTTAAAGCACTTTAAAGACATATTCTGGGTTCACAGCAGTGGAGAGCTAATGCCTCTTCTCAAAAAATACATTGGCTACCGTTATAGGTGAGCATTTGCCAACAGTTTCCGCGGGAGGTGCCAGTTTGGAGTGGAAACTAAAAAATGGGTTCAACGAAGCACTTTACCCTGTTCTTGGTTTAAAGCACATGAATAATCCCATTGACTACCCACGTGTGCTTTACTGGGACTGCTCACACAGTGAAAGTTAGGCATGTGTTTAAATAACTTGCTTATTTGGGGGCTCACTGCGTGATGTCTCCTGGCAGAGACTTGATTTTCTTATGGCAGCCATCATATGACCTGTGCGCAGGGAGCTCAGCGCTAGCCGTGAGTCCAAAGCAAAAGGCTATTTCTGTGTCCACCCCCATTCCGTCCTGCGCTTCTCTGGCAACTAATTATCTGTCTGCTGCCAATAGTGCTCTAGTGTTTTTGGCACCCAACCACTCCAACTTGCTGCTCATACAAGTATCGAATTGCCTTTCTAAGGCAGAGAGTAGTCTTTTTCTTGTTTAAGACTGTATATGTGGTTGTTAAAACATGAAAAAAAGTAGATAATTGTCATAGCTTTCCTCATTTTGGTCAAATTGTGCTCTGTCAGTAGTCCCCCTGAAGTTGATAGACATGCTAGCAGAGGAGAAACACCATTTTGGAGGTCTCCTCAGTACTCGGGGAGGCTAAATGGAGTTTTTTCATCTATTGAGTATCTAATGGAGGCGTTCTTTATTTGAGAACCTCTGTAAACAGATCATCTATGGAAACAGAGGGAGGGAGAAGTTAAATGCTAGAATAGGATCTTCCTCAGCCTGGTATTTTGCAACAATTATCTCTGGTTTGATCAAAAGTTGGTCCACCAGCAAAATAGTACAACTTCAGGCTAAAAATACATCTAGGTAAGTGTTCCACCTCTGCCTTCCTCTCCCATCCCTTCCATGCACAAGGCAGCGGGTGACCTTGGAGATGGCATTTCCCCGTGCTTGAAAAGGGGCCAGTCACAGGCGGGGAATCACCACGACCCGCGCATGGCAGGTCTCCAGCACCCTCTCTCTTCTGTATATTTTCTCCTCCAGAAGTACAACGTCTGCAGTAAGTTAGCAGACCTAGAGCCTGTATATAAAAGCAAGCCAAGCTAATAGAGATAACCACAGTTGTAGCAGATAGCAATTACTTAATGGGACCAGCAAGCCTAGCACTGCCGTTGGTGATCAGCCGTGCTCCTTCAAGCTCAGGATCTCAGACTTTGAGCTTGCTTTACACTCGTCATGGCTGGTTGTCTGTTGTTTAGCCTTTGCTAACAACTTCGCCAGAGAAGCCTAGGCAACTCCAAACGAAAGGCGGTTAATTGCAACTGAAAGGTAAAATGAAATAGGTTTTCTCAGTGAGGTTAGTAATCCTGGCTGGGAAAGAGCTCTGTTAGCTTCAGAAACATGCACCAAAGAATATTCTTTAATGGATAATCATCTTAAATGGAGTACTCTTTTGCTGGAGCTGTGTTCGGGACAGTGAATGGGATAACGCATAATAGGAGCCAGATGAAAAATAATATGAGTAGATTTCTTCACTGGGATGGAAACTTGAATGCTTGTACAAACAGCACAGAGGACCTAAAGTATTGCTGTAACAGGCTGTAACTTCATGCGTGAGGTAGGAAAACAAGTACTATTTTCACAGACTTAGCGTTTATGCCTTGAATATGTTTATGAGAGTATTTAAGGTACTGTAGGTCCAGTATCGTACCAATTAGCAGACCTAAACACTGATGAGCTAAAGATTAAGCTGTTTTAGACGTGTATTAACAGGCTTTCAGTTAGTTAATGATAAAGTACTTATGAATTAACTAGGAAGCTTATTTCCAAGAAATTATCATGTATTTTCAATTGAATACTCAAATCCACAAAAGTTCCTATGAAACTAAATAGTTGTTTTGTCCCGTTTATTTAAACATAACTAAAATGTTTAATAGGCGTTCTCCTTGCCTAAAGCACAGGACTGAAAAGCAAGGACCTGAGTTGATTTTCTAGCTCTGATAGAGACTTCTCGTATGGTTCTGGGAAATCACTTAGCATCTCTCGCTCTGCCAGCCAGACCCCACGACGTTCGTCTGCCTTGCAGAGTTGAAGGGGAGGCTGAGGAAAGGGGTGGCTGCAAAACAAGTTAAGAATCTCCCATCAAAAGTCAGAACAAATGGTTTGGTTTTGATAGAAGTAATCTGGAGTCATCGCACATACGGCTACAAACTGCTGTTTTATAAGAGTGAAGTTAGGAAGCTTTAATAAGTGCATATTTCTTTGGATAGTGCTGTAGTATGTTACTAGCTGGGACTACTGCATTGATTTGCTTCCTATCCGCGGTTTGCCCCCTTAGATACATAGTAGCAAGCGAACATGTTTCTCAAATGAAGGTCTGTTCAAAGAAACATTTAAATGTTGAAAAGTTTCTCTGACTCCTCTGATTCCACAACATTGATCTGGAAATCTTTCAAGGGTTGACTTTCTTCACTCTAAGCAATTGCTGAGAAACTCTTCATTCAACAACACTACTGTCCACTTGGCTTGTTCTTCACCCAAGCCTGGGGGGGTTATTTCTTGTCTGTTATAGCAAGTGATGAGTTTTGAATGACATCTGTTGGTTAGTACCAGTAGTGGCGTTTACAGTGGAGACTAGAAGAACTATTGCTTACAAAGAAAGAGAATTTAAAATTCACATGCTAAAGGCAAACTGATGAGGCATTCAGCTCAGTGGGAATGGTAACATCTACTGAGGTCAATGGGATGAGATTTAAGTATAGAGGAAAGAAAACCAGAATGGATGAATCCATAGTTCTTTGAATGGTCTTTGATCCCCTGTTCTTCCCTCCATATGGTCATTAGTAGAGGATCTGGCTCTATGAGCAGTTTTAGAATATGCTGGCAGTGATCAGACATTAATTTAGACCCTTTTTGGGACATACATGGATTCTAATGAATTCTCTCATTTTCTGTATGTATACCTTTTTTAATTAAAAACAGTCTCCAAATTGCTAATAGTCATAATGGATATTTACTTTCTTAAGGTATAAAACTTCTTAACTCGCCCCATGGAAATTTCCAAGGCACTGAACAGCAAGTGAAACGTGCAGATGCGGCCAACTACTAACTCTCATTTTTCTGCACCGGAACTGGAGATAACTGCTTTTCTTTCTTTCTTTAGCACTTTCAGACCATGTTAAAGACTAAGTTGAATGTCCTAACTCTTCGGAAGGAGCCTCTCCCAACAGTGATCTTCCATGAACCAGAAGCCATTGAGCTGTGCACCACAACTCCCCTCATGAAGACCCGGACTCACACTGGATGCAAGGTACTCAGGAGTATAAACTGAAGGAACGAGATCACTGTGGAGGTGTCCCGTGTATGTGTGAGGACTCTAAAGAGTCCGAAGTAACCAACATGGTCACTGTTGTTGTTCTGGAAATCCCATTAACTGCTACTATTACTATAAAGTTTGTAAACCAAAAAAGTAATTGGGCGTTTCAGACCAGAAATTTTGGGCTTCAGGAAAAGGTTTGGGTTGTGTAGCTGAAGGCAAGTGTGGAGGAACATCGCTTGTTGTAAACACTGTCATTGTTTCTGTAAGTGCTAGTGCTGAGATGGGAGATGAAGGGCCAAATGCTGTGTATTTGCATTTAGCAATCTGTACTAACAGAGGTATATACCTACTGAAATAGGATTGCAGCTTAAAACTCGAGGTTAGTTTGGTTTTTTGGAAGGGGCTTTTTGGGGTTTTTGTGGGGGGGGGGTTGTGGTTTTTTTTTTTTTTTAAAGAGAGAAAAAAGAAAAAAAAGAAGCAGGGAGGAGACTTAGATCTTGATTTTGTTAAGCAACAAGATGAATTTGCCCAGATACATCAAAGCACAGCTTCTGAAAAAGCTCTTTAAAGTTTGATGGCTTAAGAGCTTCAAGTGTGTTCTTCTGTGGTAAGAAACCATATAAAAATAGCAAACAAATCTGCTCTGTTTGCCGCTTCTGTTGGAGCCATCTTCCTTGGTCGCAGAGCTCATCTAGCCTTGCAGAGCCATGGGCGGCCTTGCAGACTGAGCTGGGTACCAGTTTGGCCTATGCTGCCAGTCGGGGCTTGGCAGCCCAGTCCCCTTCACCCAAGCCCGGCTGTCAGTTTTGGGGAGTATCCACCTGCCTTTGAGGGTCTTTGTGAAAATGGAGAAAACTGGGCTTCAGCCTCCACTGCTCTGTAAAGTGCCAGGTCTAGAAGAGCCGTTGCCTGATGCTACATGTATTGGATAAGGTCCAAAGTCCAATTAAATGTCCTAACTCCCTCCCCTGCCGGTGTGTATTCACACATGCGTGTGCACACACTCTTCCTCGTTGGAGGATCTGATGCAAGTAAGATGGGGTTGGAAGACATTGCTTCCTGGTGTGTTCCTCTGCTTCTCTTGGCGTACTGTGCAGATGGCACGGGCTGTGGGTCTGCTGTGAAGGGCTTTGCTTGGGCACCTCCAGATCTGGCACTTCCTCAGCAAAGTTTCTTCTTGGGAAGTGTATTCTTTTTTTGACTTTTTGCCTGTCACAGTAGCCAAGAAACAAGACCACTGCTGGGTGTTGAAGCAGTGCTGCCCTGTGCTGACACAGAGGAATGCAGGGCAAGTGACCCTAATATACTTTGTACGGTAGCTCGTAGCATCTGTTCTTCCGCGGTGATGTCTTTTGTCCTTTATGTTGACATCTAATGAATTTTTAGAGAATATTAGCTATCATAAAAATGGTTTACAAAGTATCTGGCTTTCACCCCTAGTGAGAGAGTTCAGACGTAATAATGCTTTCTGAAATCAGTTTATCTCTGTGAATGTGTGTAGAATTTAAATGAACCTTTTTACTTAACCTACAGTCCTTCAACTGGAAAAAGATGGATTGCAGAGAGATGTTGAACCCCTCAGTGAAGACAATCTCATTCTATATTTAGAGATCTCTTTTATTTATTCACTTATTTTTCCTGCAATGTAACATAGTAGTGGGGATGAGGGAACATCTGCCGCCACAACACTCCCCTTTTCCTGCTTGCCCTGTTTCTCCTTCTCCCCTTCCCCCTGCAGCTAGTTCACCTTCTGCCAGTGCTGGATCTCACGGTGGTGCTTTTGGGGTGGTGGCCAGCACCTCTTCACACTGTTCAGCAATTCTGATTTACAGCACCCCCCTTGGGAAGATGATTCCACATATATGTTGTTCCTATGGCTAAAAAATCCTTTCCAGTCATTAACTGAAGGGCTCTGATTTTACACAGTCTCTCTAGTCACAATCTCTTTCCTTTTTATCCCTCTTTTTCTGACTAAATGTATTCTTCTCTTACGGGGCTTGTATCCTCTAGCTGCTTATAGGCAATTAGCCGCCTTCTCCCCTTTCCCTTCTGATTATTAGTTTCTCGCAGAGTGATACAATAATAGTGTTGCCATAGCAAAGCCAGTATTTTATAATACAAGTTTTTGCTCTGTGGGGTCTGATCTATCACTGTTATTCCAGGTGTAAGGGGGAAGATGATGTGGTGTCTCTGGTACCACCAAGCCTCTCTGGTTCTGAGACGTGGGCTTTTCAGGCAAGAGCACGGGATCCAGTTTTTGCTTTCATTCATGAGTCACACTCTTTTGATCCTTAATTGTTTTATTCCTCTTGACTGAAATCCCTCCAATTTTTCTATGTAATCCCATTAATGAGATAGCATCATTCTTCTGACAGAGGCTCCAGACATCTAATTTTATTGCACAGTTTTAACATAAGGCTCAGCTGGCACCATCGTGTTACGGGAACTTGACACATGCAATTGCTTTGCTGTTCAGAGGTCTGGGTATTGGTTTTCTTACGTGATTGCTCTTTTCCTTGTCCTTTCATCATGAGACAGGCTTCTCTTTTCTCTTTCATTTGATGTTAGCTGCTGAATCCTGAAGAAACAAAACTCTTCTGCTGAGATCCAATCTCATTCTGTAACTGAATGGGATGGTTTTAAGAATAGCAATGTCTGGCCTGAAGACAACCCCCACAAAATATGGGAAGTTAAATAATTGAAAAAATTCAGAGAGCTTCTCTTTCCTGTCCAATTCCAGATCTGATGCACCTTTGTTACCATCTTGTTTTGTAAAATATAATTTTGTTATTTACAACAGAAGGCTTAAGACTTGTTCCTCCTGTTACTGCATGTCTACACCTGCCTGTTTGGGCTGGCTGCCCACCCTTCTAGACTCGTGGGCATGATTTCACCAAACAGGAGAAATAGATACTATTCTCACCTTAAGCTAAACCACCCTGTGCTGGGGAAGGACAGAATAGAGTGAGGATAAGTCTTTTGTTCTTCCCAGCCGGACCGCACTTTCAATCACAGGTTACTAATTTGTTCTTAATTAAGTAGAGCATGTTTCTGTATACAGGCATGAGTGTGATTTAGATGCGTGTATGTAAAAATGTGTCCATCCTTATTCAGATCCTAAGGATTTTGATTAGACTGTGGCTGTCCTGCTTGTAGGTCTTTCATGTCAAATATTGTGCACTCTTGTGTTTCAGCTGGAAACCTCCTCTTCCCTTATCACACCACTAAGTACCACCAGATGGAAACTAAAAATCTGGAGTATCTCCAGAAAATAAGTTGCGCTCTACTCGGAAATGTGTGCTTTCTCTGTGCCTTTTAACAGATTTTGTTTAAGTTCTGTGTGGTTTATTCTTCCTTAACGTCCTAATCGGCTTACACTGATTTTAATGTTTCTTGATTTCTGTCCCTTTGAGCTATGATGGTGGCACAAAGGGAACTGCCTAAATGACTTTGTCTCTTCTGCTGTAGCTTTTCCAGGCACTGTTGCAGTAATGCAAAAGGACAGAGGTTAAAAACGCTGCCTGTGATTTTTGAAGTGGTGTCATAGGTTTAATTTTTTTTCCTATTGGAAGACTCTTCAAAGTGAAGTCAGTGCTGAATAATCAGTAGCTCGTTTTATCCACCTGGGTCAGGCAATCTTATTCCTCCAGTTCCCACCAGTGGACAAGCTTTTCTCAGCAGCTGGGGAGGCTGAGACGAGAGGAGCATAAATGGTGCAAATAATTGCATTCTTAAGAGAATGCTTTTATTACATGGGACAATATATTAATGATACAGCATTTGCAGGCATGATATACATTGCTTGCCTGTCTTACTGGATTGGGTTGGTGAGGTTATTAATTCAGGCTTTGTGGAAGGTATGATGTTGAAATTTCTGCAATGGTCTATCTTAGTTGAAGATCGACAAAAGGCTTGGTTAGCAATTTGTATAAAGGGCATTTAAGTGGCATTTTAAAATTAAGTTTTGCACATAATAATATTTAAAATATAGCAAAGTAGTAATGTAAATAAATGGAGCTTGGTCTTTCAGAATAGCTTAATTGCTTCACTCACAAGGCAAAGAGAAAATGGCTCCTGTACTAAGCTTGCTGCAGGGTGGTGATTACAGTGGGGTTTATTTGGTGCCTGTACAGCAGCAAGGGGCCATGGCCACGGCTGGGCCTCCCTGGGGCAGTGTAGTGTCAGCAGTTGGGCACCGGGCTGGACTAGTGCAACTCCAAGACACGCTTGATGTTGTTACACTTGTGTCAACCTGTTAACTGGATTTGATATGTTTTCTGGGAGAGCTGGGCAGTGGCTGAGCCACCTCAACCTGTGCGATGCCACGGGCTTGCCTCGGCGTTCCTGCAGCCTGCCCACCCGCCGCAGCCCTGCGCCCTTTCACCAAGCCAGTGGGGCAGCCTGCTGCCCTTGCTGCCGCTCCTCTCCTGGCCTTCCTGGCTGCTTTCGTTTCATTTTCACTTCTCTCTTTCTCCCATTCTTCTTCTTTTCTCAAAAGTAACTGTCACCATTAGCAACAACGCATGCCATCAGCTGTGGGCCCTACGTGGAACTGTCTCAACACGCTTTGAGCAACAGGATTTACACCAGTGTAGTGGAGACTGGAAGTTAGTCTGCAAGGGAAAAGTTCGTAATAAGTTTATAGGATGAATAGTGAGTGATTGGGATCTGATTATGACCCATAGAAATAAAATGTTTCTCACTGGGATACTTATTTAATAAATAAAACATCTTAAAATTGCCCTGCTAAGCCTGATTCTAATTCCTTGTGTAAGAGAGTCATTTAAGAATAACATCTGCTCAGATATTACTACCTATTTTTGGTTTTCTGCCTTGTTAATTTTGATTGCAAAGGCCTTGCAGTAGGACGCTCTCTTACCACATGCTTGCAAAATACCCTATTTCTACTCTACCCTAGATGCCTCTACAGCAAATTTATTAATGCTATGTTGCTGCTTTTATTGGTCATTGCACTTTTAAAACTGAGACTG